CTCATTCCTAGTTTATTTTAAGACAAAAATGATAAAATATTGCAGTTCTGGTCTATAATACATGGAGAAAATTGCAACACAATCTCATGGCAATTCGTAACTATTGCACATTTTGGCAAATTGGTGGCTAATTCATAAGAATTCCAACAATAATCATATAAATGATTATACTAATCATACAAATTCATATGAAATCACCACCTTGTACCATAGTTATATTTTCCTGCGAGATCAGGTTGGAAAATGATCCTTTAGCATTCTAATTCATCACAATGGCAGTTGCTCAGCTGGTGCATTATATATGTTTTAACTCTTTCCCCGCCATGACGGAATTTTCCGGCTTTCTGTGTTTTCACTGTTATAAGGTAGGTGGCGCTATGACACAACTTAGGAGTACTGAATCTCCTAATCAAAAGACATGTGAAGGAGAAGCAGAAACAAGCGATAGCATATGTAATCATATACATATGTAAAATAACGTGATCATCAACGTTAAACAGCATATAAATCAAAACTGTCTAATGTTACTGAATGAAATGTCGACCCAGGACGAGCTACAGGACTGTGCAAGCATTAGAGGTGTTGATGGACTCGATCTACTCCATCTATGTTTTAATCATTGTTCTGAATCCCATCTGAATGTAGTCTTTGACAAAACGCGGTTTTCTCAGCTTTTTGCTCAAAATGTATATATTTTTTTATGAAACTACCCACATTCAAGTGTTGATAAAAAAAAGAATGCATGAAGCTAGAATAAAACAGCGTTTTTGGGGGGGTTTAAAAGCAGAGGGTCTGTTCTTTCTTTCTTTTGATATATTGTATGGTCAGATATCCATACAACAAAATATTCTAGGGGCCATGAAATTTTTGTGAAAATTATCAAAAACGATGGCAGTAAAAAAAAAAAAAAAAAAACTGGCGGGGAAAGAGTTAATAATGATATAATAATAAATAAGTATATATTTTACATTTCATATATTTATTTTATATATAATTTAGAACAATTACAATGAAATATTCTAGTTTCCCCCTAAACAACAGCCTGACACACAGAAAGTCCTATGGATTTTCTGCAACGCTGCCACTGAGCTAATGTCTTGCTGTAAGGAGCGTTTTATGAGGTTGTAAAGTTCTTGCGACTTACTCAGAATTGAAATGCGGTGGGCAGGTAACCCTATTAGCATTTTACCTAACAACATCAAGCCTTTACTTGATACATCATGCATGAAGCCTCGGAGCAAAGTACAAGCCACTCTCACTGAACAAGTAGATATTATTTTAATTTGGTCTGGGCTTCTCAAATACAAGCCGAGGAGAAAGAGAGAGGGCTGGTGGTGGAGCACAACGGTTAGGGCACATAGTAGAATCAAAGTATACTCTATAAGACGTTGAAATGAGCACTGATATCAATCTTTCAATTCCCAAACTGATGTCAGCAGTGAAGTGATACAAAGAAAATGAAAATCTATGATGCTAATGAGATGAGGAACCGAACGAGACAGCAGATAGAAAAATATCAATCTTCCAAATGAGGGATCATATTGAGTCTTTCTAGAAGCGTCTATTTTTTTTATCAGGATGCGCGTTTAAACAGCTGAGGCTTCTGTCCTTTTCACAAAACTTGTGTCAAAAAAAGCAAAACAATATGTTTCTTTATACTCTCTATTTACAAGATAAACATGTGAAGATAACTGGTGCCGGAGACCATCAGGACACATTTCAAAATGTCTTTGATCGTCTTGACAGCGTCAGTTCTCTCGAAGAGATTGAGACGTGACAGTGTGAAATCCGTTTCTTACCTCGCCAGCTCTCCACCACGTTTCCTGTGACGTCTTGGTGGAGCTTTGCGTTCGTTTAATCGATCCGTTTCCATTACAAACATGCCAAAGTAGGGTTCTGAAGGGGCCAAAGTGGTTACCGTGGCTCCTGAGAAGACGGGTGATGATGTCACCACCCGCCGGTGTTCCGGGGGCTTTGAACAGGTGGAAATTTGCAATATCCACTATAACCGGTGGTGAGGTACCATGTCCACATTCATTGTGTGAAGTCCAAACGCACAGGCACACAGGGTGAAAGAAAAAAACAAACAGTTTACAGGCAATAATTCCATATTCTCATGTTATTCAAAAGTCCTTTGAGGGTTAAAAGAAAGAAAAACCAAACAGAACTTCTACACGGCTGGACAACGGCTTGTAATGCCAGAGAGTTTCTTGATCAAAATGCTCTGCTGAACTACAGTGTGTGAACCTGCAAACCGAGTGATGCAGAATCAATGTAATGTTACTAATGGATGACCATAGTAGTCCATTAGACTAGTAATAGTGTAATGTTCAAAGCAAAGCCACACGGGAGCTGAACTCAAACTAAAAATGAACAGGCCCTCAATGACTATGGGAGACCGGAGGCTATTGCAACACGTATTCAGCACGTTTAGTGGAGATCACTTTCTGCCCGAGGAAAGGTGTAATCGTTTCACTTCGTGAGAAATAACATCGATTTTTTGGGGGGGATGTCCAGTATTTTTCTTCTGTTGTCTAAATTTTTTACCTTGGAATAATAAAAAAAATCTTTAATTGTGTTTAAATAGATTTTTCCATATTAAATAATAAATTACACGAATAATACATTTTAGTAAAAAGCATTTTCCCCCTTTTTGTTTTAAACATAATTCCTGACATCTAAAGGTGAAAATGCTTCAGTAATACTATTCGTTTGATGAGTGCTCTTATCTATGGAGGCTTGTTTCCGCCACAGAATGAAAAATATAAAAGGTAATTGCGACTTTTTATCTCACAGTTCTGACTTTTTTTCTCACAATTGCGAGTTTACATCTCGCAATTCTGACGTTATTTCTCAGAATTGCGTGATATAAAGTCAGGATTTATTGATATAAAAGTCGCAATTGCAGGTTATAAAGTCAGAATTGCGTCATATAAAGTCGCAATTGCGTGTTGTAAACTCAGAATTGCGTGAAATAAAGTCGCAATTGCGTGTTATAAACTCAGAATTGCGAGATATAAACTATTCTGAGGGGAAAAAAGTTAGTCTTTTCCCCCCTTAGAATTGGCCTGATAACTCGCTATTGCGAGTTTATATCTCACAATTCTGAGAAAAGATGTCAGAATTTCGAGATATAAACTCGCAATTATGTGTTATAAAGTCAGAATTGCGAGATGTAAACTCGCAATTGTGAGAAAAAAAGTCAGAATTGTGACTTTATATCTCGCAATTGCGACTTTATTTCTCACAATTCTGACTTCATATCTCGCAATTGTGAGATTAAAAGTCACAATTATTTATTTATTTATTTATTTTTATTCAGTGGCGGAAACAAGCTTCCATACTTATCAGAGATGCAGTGGGTTTAATAAAACAATGTGTGTTATGTGTTATGATTGCCCCAAGTCACTGTCACAATCAAACCCATAATACTCTGACAACTTGTTTTAAATTCAATTTAATGATAATATTACTTTTGGCAGATATATACGTTTCTTGCTTCAAACCATGTCATGTAGATTTGTAGTAGAAGTTCGAGTTATAAAGGAAAATTTCAGTTGCAGTTGTCCCCGGTCTCCCATATGTCTTGCTGTTTTATCCAATTATAGCAATTTCATCCGTGTAGCTGCTTTGTTGAGTGACATCTAGAGTCAGAAAATCTCTTGGTTAACACTCCATGACCTGAGGTGACTGACCACCTCTTTCTGAACTGAAACTTGGTTTATTCAGCTCTTCGATACAACTGGAGGCTCTTATTAGAGGTTCTAGCTTTGTTATTGTCAGATCATTCCCTTAGATAATTAAAAAGCCATTTGAAAATGGTTTAGAAAGATCGTTTTGGTCAGAAACATGTTTTACACAAGTATATGAATGTAAACGCTTCAGGCTAAGCTCCATTTCACACATTGTTGTGTGCCAAAAATATATTCAAGTATGTGGTGGATTGCCAGCATTTCCACCATCAGCTTTTCCATTAAGGTCAATAACTGTCATAGCGTAGCAACAGTTTTGAAGAGAACACTCTTCGATGACAGCTAGCTACCTCAATAGTAACACATCAGTTTAACGCCACCCCCTGGAAGTTTGTTACAGCAGCGTGTACAACAGGACAGTGGTGTCGCATACTTGCGAAGAAGGCGTTTCTGCCACTAGATGGTAACTCCAGCATGCTATCCGAGTGAGGGATGTCTGCTCCTCCCCCTTAGGATTCTACCTTCTTGAAGCTGAAGTGTGTAATTTTTCTGTGTTTAGCTAGCTAAATGCAGAGAGTATTTAGTAAAAAGTATGAACAAGCAGTTGGTTTAGCAGAAACATCAAAACATAGTTTGTTTGTTGGAACATTCCGACCAGCTCAACCAATGGTGTAAGTTTGGGGGCGTGGTTTTCTGTTTTCCTGACCAATAGCAGATAAAGAGAGTGTTTAGGAAACCTTTTGGAAAACAGTCATTATTTCTGACACTAGTGGTTGCAGAAATTACACACTTCAGCTTTTAAACTTAAAAAAAACACACACACATACACACACACGATCTAGTTAACAGGTAGCCTTCAAACACAAAGCTTGATGTTTTTTACTCTGCATTTCAGTACTAAATTCTGCAGAATAAAAATCAGGCAACATGTCGTCAGCCGTGAACGCCGCTGGCCCACACATTACAGTATATGCGTTAGACACACTGATTAATTTGATTACATTTTGAAAAGAAACACAAGCTTTATGTACATCTAAGAAGCTTGATCTTTGGTACATGTGCACACTGAAAGACCTTGCCATGTGAGACTTAATTTCTAATTTAATGAATGAGTTTTCTTATACTCAAACAGATCTTCCCTCTGACATTCTCATGTCTGGACAGATCTGTCTTTTTAATCAAATAATGACAGCATTTATGAGCACTCCCTGGCAACTAAATGAAAATAACAGCGAGAGGCCTTTGAGCTCTGGTGAACATTAATTTGCTTCTTTTCATTCTCTCGTTCTCACACTCTCTCCCTCTTCAAAAAAAAATAAAAAAAAACCTTGTTTATTGCACATTCCTATTCATTCTTCACTCAGCATGGGAGAATCGCCATTATCTACTCCTCAGAGAAGCCGTCCTAGCGTCAGTGCAGAGCGAGGGCTGAATGAAACCAAAGCCACGTTTAACGTCTCATGCATGTTGCATTGGATTTTAATTTGCCATTGAGCAGAACGGGGACAACAAAACATGTATTGGCCTTTGATTCGGAACAAAGAAAAGATGGAAAAAGACAAATGGAATCCCATTTTCCAGAATACACTACACTCCACAATAGAAGTGTACCGTATGCCAGATCCTCGTGTCCTCCAGCGACGTCGTTGGGAATGATTTTCACTTCTCTATATTCGCGAGAAACAGTTAGCGCGCAGCAGTATGCACAGTTTTCAGACGCGCAGCTGCGTTAATGCCGGCAGAATGTGGATCACCACCCAGGCACAGCCTCTTTTGAAATTACCCATCATGCCTTGCTATACGAGCGGGGCTGTTAGCGTCTAAAAGTGAGGGTGCTGGTGGAACGTTCTGTTGTTGGATAGTTAATGGAGCGTTCTGTGGTGGGGTAGGGGATGCTGGGCCCCTCCATGGGCGCTCTCTGGCTGGGTGGGGAGCAGGGTCCCACGGTGCCCGAGTTGATGGTGGGCACTGCCGGAAGGGCCACAGTCTGGATGGTGCTCCTCTCGCGGGGGGGAAGCTCCTCCAGCCCCTCCAGGCTTTGGGGGGGACCATCGTAACTCATGTTGAGCCGCAGGGGTTGATGCGCCTGGCAGTAGTCCACTATGGGCTGCTCGTACCTGTAGAAGGTCAGCGTGCTCATCTGGTGAGGGACCTGTGGGGGGTAAAGTAGAGAGAGAGCAAGAATGAGAAAAGTTGAAGATTCCTAATTAGAATAATTAAGCCATCAACAGTCATTAAATCGTCATTAAAGGGGTAGTCGTTCAAAAATGAAATTTTTTTGCCATTATTCACTCAGCCTCAAGTCATTTTAGATCCGTATGACTTACTTTCCTCAGTAGGACACAAAATGGGAAATTTTGAAGACTGCACTGGTTGCTCTTTTCCATGCAAATATAATGAAAGGGGACTAGAGAATTCAAGCTTTAAAAAAACCCTATTCAAATGCACCATGAAATATCAAAAAGTGGTCCAGTTGACTTATGCCTATTCAAAGTGCTATGTATGAAGTCTTTTGAAGCTTTTTGTGACAAGAAAACTGATAACATTAACCTCTACAACCGGAGTCAGAGTTGAACTCAAAAACAGAATCAGTCTGATGTGTGAATGATCCATTCAGACTCAAACTGAATTCATAATTCATTGAAAAGATCTGATTCAAAAAAATGATTTATTCACAGATCAGTCATTGCTTTACAATAAGGTTCCATTCGTTAACCACATTAATTAACATGAACTAATGATGAAAAATAGCATTTCTTAATCTTAACATTTACTAATGCATTATTAAAATCAAAAGTTGAATCTGTAAATATTATCGGTAACACTTTAGGTAATACGCTTATTATCATGCATATTACTAGGATATTGGCTGTTTACTAGTATAAAGCACATATTAATGCCTTATTCTGCATGACCATCTTCTACATCCCTTAATCCTACCCAATACTAAACTTAATAACTACTTTACAACTATTGATAAGCAGTAATTAGGAGTTTATTGAGGCAAAAGTAATAATAGTGAGAACTGGAGCCTTAAACTAAAGTGTGACCATGTTATGTAATGAACCTGACTTAACATGTACTAACAATGAACAGTTCTATTTTATTAAGTAATATTAATAAACATGAATAAATACTGCAAATACTGCATTGCTCATTGTTATTGAATTATTTAACTAATGTTAACTAATAGGACCCTATTGTAAAGTGTTAACAATCATTCAAACGGGAACTGAATTCAAGTTTTAAGAAGATCTGAATCAAAATAATGATTTGTTTATGAATCGAACATTGCTAGTTCTCTCATGAAGAATTTTAACAAAATCAATCACTCGATTCATTTAAAAGTTCAGATTTGAAAGAAAGATTCATTCACGAATCTGAGATACAGTACTTCTCCCATGAAGAATGTTCAATTTTCAAACAACTTACATTTTGGTCTTTTTTGATCACTAAAAGCTATTGTATGACTCTGAATATTGCACATGAGTCATACAGTATGGACCACTCTTACGGTGCTTTTTGTTGCTTGAGAGTTCCTGTCTTCATTCAATTTATTTTATGAAAAAAAAAAAAAAAAAAAAAAAAAAACAATCAGGATATTCATCAATATCTATTGATGTTTATCTATTGAACCTACTGTGCTCCAAGGACAAATGAAAGACATACAGGTTTGGAACGACATGAAGGTGAGTAAATAATGACATTTTTCCTTTTTGGGTGAACTCTCCCTTTAATTAGAGTAATTAAACCACCCCCTCACCACAAGAGTCATTAAATAGTCATAAAATATCTCCGATAATGATTCCACCACCAAGAGACATGCACACATTCCAACATCCCTCATTCCCCCATCGTTCTCAGCCCACTCGCGACTTCCTCTTTAAGCTCTGCTTCCGTCTGCATTTAGAAGCTGCCTCGTGGCGCCTCGTTTTCAAAGAGGAACCGCGCTGGTAGGGGTAATAGCTTTTTACACCGAGTGCAAACCCAGCATCTGTCTTGCTTCCCAGTGTGTGTGCTGTGCTCGCTGGTGACTCACTCTGTGTATACACAAGAGGCAGAACACACACACGCGCACACACACAAAACCCCCGCATAGGCTTCTGCAGCTATTCCTATGATAAGTGACACAAGCAAATATGCCTTTCCATTTCATGCCGTGACTCTCGGAGAGTCGTTGAGGAGAAACATGCCACATGTGGCTGCACTGCAAAAAACATTTCAATTTTACTGGAAAATGACAACAAATACTGGTAAATGTCCTTAAAACAAGATAAATTGACATTATTTAAATGAAAATGCATAAATGATTAAAAAATATTTTCAGAGAACTCCATGAACTACGATTTTATTTTTCCTAAACTCATCGACAAATCATTTCCTTGTTTTGAACAAAGCTCAGTGCTGTTTACTCTTAAGGAATCAGTGAATGAATCATTCTTTTGATCTGGATCTTTTCAATGAACCAATTTATCCAGTTCCTAGTGAGCTCAACTCACTGACAACTTAATTTAGTTCTGTTCCTCACACAAAACTATCTTCAGAAGAGTCATACATTCTACATTTATGGTGTTTTTATCATCATTTTTAAAGCTTATAACACCCATAAGCATCACTATAAACTGTCTTCATGTGGAAAAGAATCTTTGAAATATCTCAAATTTATAGAGACTGGAACTAAACAGGGGTGCGTTTCCCGTACAACGACGTAACTCAATGCTTCACTACCATAGTACGATGCATCGTTGAAGAAATCAACTTGCAAGTCACGACTGTTTCCCGAAAACAAAGTGGTCACCACGTTGGTTTATGACGTCACGCACCTGGTGGAGTAATAACTTATTTTAATGAAACTGTTTAAGATCGAATTAACGCTAGATGTTTTGATATAAATGACAGACATCTGAGGACTATTTCTAAGTTATTTTTCTTTATGTCCAGATTCAATCATTGGCTCGTTCTTACGTACTAGAGCACGTTCGCACATGCGCACTCTTCAAAAAATGAGGCTTTAAATCTCTTGACAAACTAAAAGACTTGAATGACATTTGTATGTATTCTAAATAAAAGACACAGTTTGTACTGAATGTCAGCTTGCTTATTTTGCTCAAGATAAGGATTTATTAAGTATGGAACTTGCAACCATAGTTGGCTAACGATGCTTTCGGGAAACGCACCCCAGAGAGTTACTGACAGACTGAGAAGAGAGGTGCTGCTACAATGTACAATATGTGGAAAATACTGTATTTTTTTAACATTCATTGAAAGCCTGTTCTAGCTGATCTTGTTTTCAGGATTTTCACACATTATTTCTGGAAAACATTGCAAAAGTAGTTTTTTAATCAGTATTTTTGGAGTGTTCTCATCTCTCGTACTGTCACACAAATCATGCTGAACCAAGTTTCCATGTATTTCCACTGAACAACCAGAGTTCATTGCTTTTAAAGGGGCAAATTAGTGAACGCTTAGAGATAGTGAAGAGCGACCAAGCGCGATTACCGTCACCGAGCACTAAGTGAACATTAGTGACAAGAGAGCTCTGCCGGTGTGGCAGACGAAGAGATTTTACAAAGAGACTCCTGACAGGAAGCAAAATAAATAAACAACGTCAAATGCAGGCCCGACTCGCAAGTGCAAATGAGATGTGTTGTGTCAGCGGATCGGATTTAAAGCTCTTTGTATGCCACAATTAATCCACTTCCCCATATTCCCCTGAGCAGAGCGAATGGCTTTTGCATGGGCACAAGCAGAATGCACAGCTACTTAAAAAAACTGCTTTACTTAAAGGTCCCCTGACATGAAATTTTCACTTTCTGAGGTTTTTTAACATTAATATTAGTTCCCCTAGCCTGTATTTGGTCCCCTCGTGTCTAGAATTTTCAATCGGTGTAAACCGAGCTTTGGCTATTTTTCTCTTCTCTGCAGCTCAGACGCGCTGATCTTGAATCTCCTCGTTATGACGTCATAACGAGGAAAGGTTACCTCCCCGTTCTCTGCTTTGCCCGCCCGGAGAATTTGGCTCGCCCATGAGAAAACGAGCTAGGAACAGGAAGTACGAACGCGCCGGCGCAATTTTTGTTTTTCCTAGAGAAATAGCTTTGAGATTTGAGTTTTTCCTCGAGAGATATCATGGCTTGCAAACGAGCGAAGCATGGCAGTTGATCAGTGTTCGGATGTACAAATGAACACAAAAGTATTTTTTAGTTCCTTCATCGAGCCTCTGAAGAAACAATGGGTTAATTTTATTTTCTCAGGAAATGCGCCGACACAACTTCCCAAAGTTTTGTATGGTCCAAACATTTCACCGACTGTTTCCTCAACTCGATGAACGTCTGAAAATAAATCGATCGAGCTACCAAGCAACAATTTCTGATGTGTAGCCTAATTGTTCAAGTTCAGACAGGTAAGTTAATCTTTCTCTCAAAATCGTTCAATACTGTTTATGCATCAGTAAGTCAAGCCAGTGACTAAAATATCAACTTCACATCGTTTCTTTTAGTAGGATGAAAATAATCGTATTTAAATTCTGAAAAATTATACAGAAAGCGATCAAAGAACAATCTTTCCACAGCGCGAGTTTATCTGGACAACTCGTTATGAAATCAATGACGCACGTTACACTGCACAACGAAGCTCTTGTATGTACATCATCGTGTTTGCATTGGGGAAAGCATTAGAGAGAGTGCAGAAACTGCGTTGCAAAGATGAGATCTTCATGCTCGCGATCAACAGACTGTCATCTGCTTGCTCAATGCTCACCACTGCAACATTTTATGTGATGGGAATAGATCTAAATACTTTAAAAACTTCTCACGATTCGTTAATCTCGATAGCTGTAATAGTAAAAACGTATAATAGCTGTAGTAAAGTATTCGAGAAAGTTTCGCATGTAATACATAGCTATTTCATATGCAAGCATGTCAGCCAATCACAGCAGTGGCTAGTTGCACTGAATCCCACAGCAGACACGCCCCTTCAAACAGAGCGTTCAAATCAGAGGCTAAAATCAGGCTAGGAAAATTGCCTTTTATTTCTAAATTATGACTATTTTTGATCTAAAAAACATACTAACATTATAAGGGCAACCCAGGAAACATTATAAAATAATAAAATAACCCCAATGTCAGGGGACCTTTAAAATGTCATAGGATT